CAGGGAGGGACGCCTGGCCCCACTGAGCCTGCTGGCCTTGCTGACCGTGGCGCTGGCCACACTGTACGGGCTGTCCCTGGGCTCACTTGAGCAGTAGCTGAGAGGAAAGCCTGGCAATAAAGACCCCGCACCGAGTGCTGGCGTCCTCCATTTCCTCGGCAGCCGCAGCGCCTGCACCTCTGCCCCGCTCAGCCCCGGGGACGGCACAACCTTGTCCCTTCGTCCCTCGTCCTCGCTCGCGGGACGGTCAGATGTCTGAGCCCAAAACTAGGAAAACCTGGAAGTCCGAGTGTTGGATGGAAACGGTACCAGGCCCATCGCTCCAGGCAGCCCTGGCCGGTGCCGCTGAGCTGGTTGAGCGACCTCCTGGGCACCAAAAGGCGGCTGGTTCGACTCCTGGTGAGGGCACATGCCCGGGTTGCCAGCTTGATCCCCAGTAGGAAGCACGCAGGAGGCAGCTTCCTACTGAACAAAATGATTTGTTCTTGCGTTGATGTTCCTTTCCCATCTTCCAAGTCAATTTTTAAAGAAGGAAGGGCCAGTAGCTCAAAATGTCTGCATTTATTATAAACCAAGGTACAGCTCCCAGACTCAGAAACGCATCAACAGTACAAAGTTGAGACAGATCTGGCGAGACAGTCACAGAGGGACGCGGACACTGAGGTATTCGGATCTGGGCCCGCGGCTACCCGGGGCCCCCCACCTTGGTTCAGAGGCTGGTGGCCCAGTGTCCCTGCTGCCAGGACAATGGAACGAGGGTCCAGGAGCTGGTGTGAGGGAGACAGGAACTGTCAGGTCAGACGGTCCCGCTCCTCTGGGCCAATGTCCCTCTAGGACCCAGGGGTTTCAGCCTCAGCAACTATCACATACATTTTAAAACAAAAGAGGCAAAAAAAAGTTTGGATAAAAGTACAACGAAGACACTGCAGGGAGGGCACCTGAGTGTGTAGGTGGACAGCGGCCACCCTGTCCACCTGTGTCCGGGGCCAGGGCAGCCGGCACTGAGGCGGATGCGGCCTCCAGGTGGTCCCAGGGCCTGGCTCCAGGGCACGATGGGATCAAAAGCCAGCTTAGCCCGGCCCCACCCACCACCCTGCAGGAGTTCTGTTCTGTGAGGGAGGCCACACCTGGGGACAGGCATGGCCTCAAGCGGGCTGGCCACTGCAGAGCCCGAGCATGTGCGCTCGCTGCCCACAAAAAGCGGGACTGTCCTAGTGATGAGCCCCCGGTCTCCTGGGCGGTCTGGCCAGGAACTCACCCCATTCTTTGAGTTTTGCTTGGGATTTCAAGGAAGCATAATTTGAAGTGAGGAAGAGAACAAAGGATGGTTCCAGCAACTCTGGTGAGGCTCCCCACCTTGTCATCATCATGTGTACAAACAGGACACACCGCACGGGTTGAAAGGCTGTGCCTGCATAGCCGCACAAGCACGCACACACGTGGACACACACACACACACACACACACACACACGCGACGCATCAAGTGGCAGCCAGAGATGCAGTGTGCTCAGCGGGTGGCCTTCGGGGGGTCCATGTAGGCCGGGTTGTAAGGAGGCTGGCTGGCAGGATAGGCCATGGCTGCATCCCCTGGAAACAGAGAGGGCAGAGTGGCTGCGGGCGCCGCGGGAGCCGGAGCCGGAGCCGGAGCCGGGCAGGGTCAGAGGGGCACTGGACTCACCAGCCAAGGTCTCAG